CTTGCATCCTTTTTTTGCGCCATTGGTTCTGTTTTTTCCTCCTAAGAAGCGTTTAAAAGAGAAATTTGTAAGGATTAAAGACCAGCTGCTATCTAATCAATACTGTTGCCTTAATGTATTTGAAATGGGGAACTAGTTGAGCTAAAATATCGTTTACGAGTTTTTTTTTCTTTCAAAAATATTAAGTCATTATCAGGACGTAAACTTGACTTAGGTTTACAGAAGAAGAAATCTGTGAAAAAAGTCAGAAGCCAAGCGGTGGCGTTACCGGAAATAAGTCGTATCCGTGAAAAATAAGGTAACTTTCAAGTGTTTCCAAGCTCTTTATCAGGGCAACAATTTATAGAAAAAATTTACTTTATTTTACTCAGGAAAGGATTTATGGATTACTTTGAAATTTTTTAATTTTTTTTTTCCTCTTATTTCTGTTTCACAAGCGTTGCGGCAGTTTGAAGAGCTTTGGTTTGGCATAAGAAGGTAGTGAGCGCTAAGACAAACCTTAACAATTAGCCAGTATGATCAGCATTTAAAAATTAAAACCTGTTCATTAGTTTGATTTTTTTTTTAGTGTGAGCATGATGTTTGTTGCTTTGTTTCAGTTGTCTAGTTTTGCTAGCTTTTATGAAATCGCCTGGTAGGAATGGTTTTATTCAAAAGTGTCTTTAAGTAATCAAAACAGTGAAATGCGTTTAAGTATAGGTCTGCAAGAAGAGTGCTGTTTGCATCATATTTGCAGCTTTGAAGTGCCTTTGAAATAAAATGAAAGAGAGAAAAGTTTTCCAGCGTTGACTTCTGGTAATTTTGCCAGAAAAAGACAGTAGGGTTGAAAACAGACAGTAGTTTTTTAGTTTGTAATTTATTTGTGGTCATTAACATGTTGGTTCCCCTGTTTCAGTATTTATCTTGTTTTATTAAGTGCTAGCTGGTTTACTCGACATCTATCGGTTTACATTGTATTTTTTCTGAGAAACTTCCCAGACTAGCTACATTCAATTACGTACGATAATGCTTAGTTTTTATGGAAGATTCTGATTTGCATAATGTTCTTTTTTTTTCTTGCTTGCAATTTTGGCTTATCTGTACAAAATCTTCACATTTATAAAGAACCTAACTATTTTTACTGTAATTGAAATATGGTCATGACTTGCACTGCATTTCTGTGCAATTGATAAGAAATAGTTGTAGCGCCAGGCTGAATTTATAAAGGAAATTGTGTTGTTTAAAAGACGTCTTCATGGTGTTTATTAATTTCTTATGAGTCAATTATTTAAGTGGATTTTATTGTTGATTTAACGACATTGATATGCCATAAACATGCTTTTTAACTTTTAGTTGTCTTAATAAACTGGCAAATTAATCTGTAAAGTGAACTTTTGCATGGTTGTTTTTAGTTAATTATGATTCTGTTAATCAGAATTTTTTTTGTTTTTCTTGCTAGATACCTTCTGAATTATTTGCTCGCAATGAACGATTACAAATTTTAATCAAACGTTCGTTTACTTTTAAGTGTTGAATATCCTCGAGAAGTCAAGCCTTGCAGGGCATTTTGTTTGAGGTGTGATTCATTCTGTTAGCTCTTAGTTTATATCGTCCGCTACTTTGGATCTCGAGGCGATGGCTTCAAAACAGGGTTAAGTTTTTGATTTCTTTATCATATAACAAAAGATTGTTACGGTAACAGTGGTAGTAGGTTTTTACGCGCTCTTATTGACATTATATCCAAATCAGGCTTCTGCTCATCCAGAAATTATTTTGACCTCAATTTTTTTTAAAGTAAAATTAGGAATTTTAGTTTAAGAGCGTTATTTTCATAGTGAAACGTACAATTTCGTGTCATAAGTACTACTCAGGTCAAAATGTTTTTTTTTTTTTTTTGGATTTTAGCGAGATTTTTGGTTTTGAAGTAGACGCTAAGTTCGCTAAGTTTATGCTTGCGATTTGGTGTTGCAGTTAGCCAGCTGTAACGACAGCTTTGGTTTCCAGTTGACAGCTGGATCTTAAACGGCGAATAACCAGTCTTAATAGTGACAGGGTTGGAGCAAACCTATTAGGCAGAATATGTCGGTGGTTTCCAAAATATGTAGTGTACGGAAGTTTCGTCTTTGGGATCGTTACAGTTAATACAAATTTTAAAAAACAAGTGGAAGTCAATATTTCTTCGACATTTAGATCATCAGTTATTAGCTTCATATCTTCTATTCGTCATGAATTTAAGGTGAGCTTGTTACTTTGACTGATGTGGGCCATCGCGGTATTAAGTTGTAACGTTAGTTAAGGATTATTTCCTTCTGGTCATGCGTCACTCATCCGCTTACGTTTATCTCTCGGAGCTTTCTACTGCAGTTCCCTTCTTTTGGGTATAAACTGACGAAGATGTCCTGCTTTAAAATGCTATAACTCGTGAGTTGTTGGCTGCCGATAATGCATCTAAGAACCGATAATCGACGAAGTACCATTTTTCCACAGAATAATTTTGAATACTTGAAATTGT